AAACGATTAAATATATATCAAAAAATCGAAAGAAAAATAGTAATTGTAGTAAAATTTTAATTTTCTGAGATCATCTATATTATTTCGAAGTGTTTTGAGATATTTTCACCAATGTCGTTGGAATATTTTGAGGTGTTTTAAGATATTTTGACTAATATTTTAAAAATAATTATTAAATTTTTAATAATTTTTATTCTACTTCTGAAATATTTTCAGACCGAAATAATACACCAAAATAAAATTTTGATAATTGTCTATATAGTTGATTGAAATAAAATTGAATAAATTTAATTTTTAATTAGTGAATATAAATGGGGTGAGTTTAATAACTAAAAGAGTGAGTATAGATAAGATGAACTTAATAGTTTAAAATAAAATGATTAAATGAGGTAAAAAAATGAGATTTAAGAGGTGCCCTTTAAAGTATAAGGAAGAAAAGTGTTCCGGGTGAAACCACATGAAGGCATTGCAGAGTTTGAACGGGGTAAAATTGTAACTTTATGGCACAGGTATTGTTGGAAAACGGCATATACAACATATTTCTTCCCTGGGGGAAAGCTTCGGGCTGCTCCAGCAATTTGGATAAAGCTTCGGGCTGTTCCAGCAATTCGGATGAACCATCCACAGCACGTATGAGTGTCCATTTAATTCAAAATCGTAAGATTCACGGATTCAACATGAGTTGTGTGTACGGGGTAAAAAAAATGATTGGTTCGGTGCAGGAAGTATTAAAATTGAAGTCTATAATAGGCGCAAGATGATTTGTCACTACTATCCAATATTTATTGGAGTTCCAGAACCAAACGAATATATCATCTGGTTAAGTCATTGGAAGCTCAAAGAGTTGAATCGGTGGAAACAGTTTAGTGAGTTCGAACCTGGTGATGAATTAAATTTTCGGATTGAAATGTGATTTGGAGGTAAAAGAGTTCAAAATCAATCCTATATACTATGAGCATGAAGAGAAGAATGATGATGAGCATGAAGAAAAGAATGAGCAATCAATCATTGAAGATATGCTTGGATCTACATCAACATTTGGGGACACCACATTTGTCGAACCAATGAATGGTTCGGAGGTAAATGAGGTCAAAAACAGTTCAGTGTGCAATGTGCAGGAAAGGAATGATGCCCAATCAAACCGTGAAGATATGCATGGACTTCCCAAAAAAGAAGAAGATATGCTTAGACTTCATCAGAATATTAGGGCACCACATTTCGTTATTGTTTTCTTCAATTATCCAAGCGACTTTGGATTGCTATGAACATCAGTCTTTGTAGTTTGTAGCATTTAGCATTAAAGGGTCAGAAAATTGTGTCCGGCCTCGCCACTGCCACAGTTTCTTCAAGCAATTTTGTCTCTGATTGGCTCTATTTTATTTTCACTATCATTCTTGAGCCCCAAATAAATTCAAATTTTGAAATTGAATCTAATGAAGAGCCAAAAAACCACTGAAATTAAAAATCTGAATCCACCAAATAAATCAAAACAATAAAGATATTCAATTCACCAAGAGCGGAAAACCCTTAAATAATCACCACGGGATGGACATGGTAAAAGAGAGAGGCGAAAATTACGAAAATGACGGGTGGAGTCTCTGTTTGGTGGTGGGTTAAAGGAGCTGTTCATAGTCTAGATAAACATGCGGAGGACCACAGCACAGCCCAATCTCTTGAGGCTCTTACTTGCAGGGTGTTCAAATTTTCGATTATTAGTAAATTTCGATATTATCCTATCCTATCAACTCTATTGATCAACTATTCAAACGAATCAGATAGGCAAACAAAAGACTTTTTGGTATTTTACAAAAAAATCGAATAGAAATACAGAATACCTACAAAATTTTCATATTCCTACCCTACCTTACCTGCATATATATATATATATATATATACACACACTAGCAATATCACATGACTAAAGTTTTCTTTAGTATTATTGGTTTATTGTATTAGTTAGTTGGTACAAATTATTTAATTAAATAATTAAATAATCCAAAAATTAATAACTAAAAAATATGTGTTCACCTGATTTTTTACCCGATTGTTTTGCATGGAATTCAAGTAGAAATAGTACACTTTATTGAATAAGGTGAGTCAAAAAAAAAGTATTTCGCAAAGAATCGAATCAAAAAATGCAGTACCATAATTCCTCCCTATTGGGTATAGTCTGCTCACTTGAGTCACAGACCTGCCATAACTGTGTGCACGGCCCGCGGCTTAGCCCAAAACTTGTTCTTGGTTCTTAATTTTAAAGGGAAATTATAAAAGAGTGCACGTTAGATTTAATTATAAAATTTCTTAATTTTAATTGTCAAATTTCAAAAACTTTGAAACATATCCCTAAAAGTTGGAGAAGATTTATTATGGGTTTTGATTTTCCTAAATTTTAAGTTTTTGTTTTATTCCTAAATTTTTAGGTTTTTTCAAAAAATCTTTTTTAAGAAACTTATTTATAATAAGAAGGTATTCAAGTCTTTCTATGTCTTAAATGAACTATTTTACAAAACATTTTTTTTCTATATAACTTTTAGCAATTAAGTCCAATTTCGTGTACTAACTTCCAAAAGTCCCTAATTTTAATCATCTCCATTCTAAGAACTTATTAACAATGCTAGATGACTTTATTAGGTATCCCTTAGAAAGACTTTATAAATAGATTTTTTGATAATATCCTTTTGACGCGCGCTTCCTTATTTTGTGCATGTGAGTTTCATAAGGGTGTTGTTAATCCCATTGGTTTCCGCATGTTCTCTCAAAACATTTCCAATGTGAAGTATTTAGTGATTCGAATAAAAATTTTTACTTTTATTTCAGTCAATTCAATCTATTATGTCCTGGTCAGTTGGATAAAGGGTATTATATGTGCTGTGGTCATAAAATCTTAGACGATTTTTCATCTAACAAACTAAGTTTTGGTAAGATTCAAAACAAGATTCAATGGGTCACAACTTTATCATTCAAATGTGGGTCTCTCAATTGAGGATACCCAACATATCAAGATAATTAGTCAATAACCTCTCTACCATTCAGGGTAAGGAGTTAGAGATATTTACCGATTACCACGCAGTGCGTGCTCCCAGAGGATATATACCGATTCACAGCATTAATACTTTTGGTCCATTTGGTAGAAAAAATGAATTATGGGAGTGATAAATTTTATATTCTTCAAGAGAGGAACCCTTACTACCCTACTTTATGTTTGGTAAGAGCGATGGAAAGTAGAAAAGATTTATTTTTTCTTTTTTGTGTTTGGTAACATAGAAAAAGTAATTTTTAATTTTTTAATTTTTTTTTGAAAAAATATAAATACATATTTTACCATTATATCTACATATAAAATTAATGTATACATAATATGTAATTGATAAATATAATATATGTATATATCATAAAGCATCTGCCAGTTACTCTCCTAAAAAACAAGTCTAACTAAACTAGCATAACAGTTAACTATTGAACTTTAATATGAATTCAAATACTCAAATTTCCTAACATCACGGTAAAAAGTTCAGCTGATACTAGAACACCCCCACCCGGTGTGCCGCTCGGGTCTTCGAATTAGAAGAAGTCAAGTAATATTTTAGTGTACATAAGCCCAATCCCAAAAGCCATGGCGCGATATCTGGATAACTAATTTAACGGTTGTTTTTTCACTAACAAACAACGAAAATGACATTCACATGTTAACTGAAACTCTCCACATGATCAAGAAGGGTCGATTCCACTACAGGGCTATCCATTTTCCACAGCCATTCTCTTCTCTCTCTCTCTCAGTTGTCAAAGATTTTAGCTTGTCCCTTGCCGTCTTCAATGGCTTTTTCATGAAAACTTTGCTGTATTTCTTGGTCATTAAGTGCATGAATATTTCTCCTATCTTTAGCATCAAAAACATCCTGACGTGTAGAAAACTCTCAGAAATATCCAAGTCATGTGACAAAGTGCTGGTGGAATAGAGCTAATCACAGCCGAGTATTGAGCTCCATGATTTCTAGAATTATTACTTATATAATTGATGAGATTTGCATGACGTTGCACGACCATGCTTATCTATTTGGCTAATTATTCAAATACGTGCTACTCCACATCTAGCACATATACATACGTGCTAGTCAATATATTCTTAAGTTATACGATACAAGATATATTTTTTATTTTTATTTTTGTTCTTTAAACAAACCCGCGATGCTTAATTTACAAACAAAAATTATGTACAAAAGGATTAACACAAATAAAATACTATAATCGCCTATATGTTAGAGATTTAAATTCATAAATTCTTTAAACACCATATAAAAATATTCAACCCAAAATCAATTACTAATGTGTTAAGGGAGCTACAAGGCTGATGTAGTAATTTCATACGTGTTGTCATATTGATAAGGCAAGCTTAAGTACTTAATTAAGTCAATTAATAATGTCTTGTCACAAAATAACTAAAATTTAGCCAACTAAAAGACAAAAACATACTTCAACAGAATATGTTCATATGCTCTAAAATGACTTTTTGCTACAGTAATACTCTAAATATAGAACATTACTATAGCAACTTGTATAAATACTTTATAATTTTTTCTCTCTTCTTCTGTCATTTCCCACATCTCTTATCTACTCTCTATCTTTCTCTCTCTAACAATCCTAACAAAGGTACAAAATATATAAAATAATATTTAAAAATAATAATTAAATTATAGAAAATCTATCAAAGTATATATTGAAAAAATGAATAACTAAAATACAAAATATATACTTTTGGATAGATAAAATATAAAACCTTGTTGGAAATGCTCTTAGTGGAGTAATAACATATAAAATTTATGCATTCTTGCACAAGTACTACATGCCCGTGTTAGGAGGTTGTATGGTTAATTCCCAAACAACTGGTAATACTTAAATAAAATAAAGGTCAATATTCAGCCAAACAAAAAAAGGAAAAAAAAAAAAAGAGCAAAACTGTGAAGCATGTGCCTGCACAGTGATATGACCTCCGACTGCTTTCGCCAATATAAGCCCAACTCTCTCGCCAATAAAAGTCTCTCTCTCTCTCTCTCATCAAAATATGAGAACGCTTAATATGAGGAGCCCTACATTCTTCATTCTGGTTGCATTGCTTGTCTGGTCTTCAGGAAATGAAACTTGCGGTGGTAGAATAGTCAAGCACTGGAGAGGAAGCAAAGCAATTCCACCATCCCTTTCAAATAAGAAAGGTGATAATGATGCCGATAGCCAATATCCAACAAGGTTGATGGAAGAGAGTTTCACTGCACAAGGAAAGGCTTCAACTACTACTTTTAATGTAATAGACTATGGTGCTAAAGGTGATGGAACTACGGATGACACAAAGGTAGCTTTGAGCTTTCTTCAGATTCTGCTCAAAATAGTGGTGTTTAGAAAACCATGAATTAACCCCGAGAAATAATTCAAATGGTAATAGTCCCCGAAGATTTTTGAGATTCTAGTAAAACTAATCTTGAACTGTCTAGTAAGTGGTTTGGATAAGAGGATTTCAGTTGTTAATATTCTACAGTCTCAAGTTCAAGTCTTACAAATAACGTTATAGTTTATCTAATGCACATGATTTATGAGTGAGTGCACGCATCCTAAGTTTAGGCATGATTTAGACGGTTCTCGGTTTTTTAAAAAATGTTTCCTAAGACATAATTTGCTAGCCTCCCCATTTGTCGAGACCCATGAATCTACTCTGCTTAACATGATACAACCTGCAATCCTTGGCAGGCATTTGAAGCAGCATGGGCATCTGCTTGCAAAGTGGAGGCATCAACAATGGTGGTTCCATCAGGGTCTGTCTACCTAGTCAAGCCCATCTCTTTCTCAGGACCCAACTGTGGATCAAACATCATATTTCAGGTGAATTTCAAATCATCAACTCACCAGTAACAACCCCTATATTCAAGCTTTTGGCAGACATGTTATTCTTGAAGTTCAGTAGACAGATTAGTATTTGAATATATGTGACTAATTGATTCTCTCTCTTGCTGCAGGTGGATGGCAAAATTATTGCTCCTACAAGCCCTGGGGCTTGGGGTTCGGGTCTACTTCAATGGCTCGAATTTACGAAGCTTACAGGGATTACAGTCAAGGGCAAAGGTGTTATTGACGGGCAAGGCTCAGTCTGGTGGAGTGACTCATCCACAGAAAATCCAACAGAAGAATCAGAATCAGTCTCTCCACTCAAAGATTCAACTTATGAGAGCTCGCCGGCTCTGGTAACTGCCACATCCTTTTTAAGCCTAACCAGGCCACATCTATTTCTTCGACTCATCAGTCTTTGATAATTTGCCACTTATCAGAATATATAACAAACTAATTATGCGGTTAAATGGCATTCATGTCTGGCAGGTAAGTAGTGAGGCCACAGGGAAAATGCCCAGCACCAAGCCAACAGTAAGTACTCGTATAGAGATCCCACACTGTATTTCAGAATCTGACACTAAAAATAAAGGATTTTAAGGGAATTTTACCTTGGTATGCAGGCAATCAGGTTCTATGGGAGTTCTGACGTGACAGTGACTGGCATAACAATTCAAAACAGTCCTCAGACTCATCTCAAGTTCGACGACTGCACAGCTGTTCAGGTTTTTGGCATGACAGTTTCATCCCCAAGTGACAGTCCTAACACCGATGGAATCCACCTTCAGAACTCCCAAGATGTGGTAATCCACAACACTAATGTTGCTTGCGGTAATTCCAATCCATCCCTCCTTCCATTTGTGTAAACCAACTGCATACTTAGCATTTGACAGATGATGACTAGATACTAGAATCCTTGGCACACGTGACACAACAAGTGTGCAGAATTTGATACTTTTCTGAAAAAAAGAAATGACTGAATATGTTGTTCATTATTTCAGATGTAGAGAATATAGAGAAAGTAGAAGAGAAAGACAGTTATGATAGATGGTCAAAATACCCAATTGGAAAGACAGTTATTTTTGGACAAGTTTAGGCTATTTTGCCATGGTTTCATCGGCCCTTACAAAGAGTTAGACCCCTTGATATAAGGCCGCAAATTCCTGTGCCTTTTACAACCAAACTGCTTCCCCTGTTGTCACTCCTCTGCAACTGCACATGGCTATTCAACTTCTTAGAAACACTAGCAAATTTAGTATAAGGTCAGACTGATCAAAAGTGCAAGGAACAAAGCCACATCAAACAAAGAGTTACTGACATTATCATATGCCTTGCTTTATTCTACAGGAGATGATTGTGTCTCCATACAAACTGGGTGCTCTGGCATATTTATTCACAACATGAATTGTGGACCTGGGCATGGGATCAGCATTGGAGGGCTAGGAAGGGGAAACACCAGGGCCTGCGTCTCAAACGTCACCATCCGAGACACCACAATGCACAATACATTGACTGGTGTAAGAATAAAGACATGGCAGGTAATAAACCACTACCCTACGTGAACCCAAAATATTAAACCACTTACTCAAGTTCGCTCACTCAGGATTTTCCTGCTATATTTGAACCATATTTCTGAATCTCATTTCTTTCAACTGCAGGGTGGCTCAGGGTTAGTGCAAGGAGTCATGTTCTCCAACATTCAAGTTTCAGAAGTTGAAATCCCTATCATGATTGATCAGTTCTACTGTGATGGGAGCAAATGCCAGAACAAGACTTCAGCTGTGGCTGTGTCGGGCATATCCTATCAAAATATAAGAGGAACCTATACACTGAAACCTGTT